TACTACTACTACTACTACTACTACTACTACTAATAATAATAATAATAATAATAATAATAAGTATTACCTACTATAGTAGGTAATATACCGAGTATTACCTACTATACCCAACATAATAATAAAACAGACTATTGAAGAAAAACCACTTGAAACTAAAATTGGAGGTACCTTAGGAAGTTTGATTGCTAACTATGGTTCAGATTCTGAATAAGAAAAGCAAGAAGAGGATAAGATACCTGAAAAAGTTGAAAATAAAATACATGAAGTGCCAAAACAAGAAACTACAAAACCTGCTCAGCAACTGAAAAAAACTAGGCAGATGGCACCTTCTCGGAGGACAAATCAATTGAGGCATAGACCACAATATACTCTCTTAGAAAAACTTCTAGTTAATGAAATTAGGCATGAAAGAAATGTCATTATGCAGTGCGTGCACTACATTGTCAAGAACAATTTTTTTGACCCGACACATTGCTGATGTTTGCTTAAACAGCATTTTAAATATTTCATCTAAAATATATGATTAATATTGTTGTTCGATCATAATTATTAATTGTGATAACCAAAAATGAAAAATGTGTAAATAAAATATTTTATCATTTTTTGATAAAATATTTTATTTACACATTTTCAGCTTTCGTTTGCCAGGATGAAATCATGGCAGAACAAATTGAATCGAATTCATCTATTTTTACTGCAGAGCTGCAGGCTATTTATCTAGCTTTAAAGTATGTATTTAGGAAAGGTCATAGTTGTTGCGTGATTTACACTGACTCAGTTAGTTCCCTTCAGGCTTTGATTTCATGTGAACCTAGTTCCCACTACATAGTGATTAAAATTCGTAAATTGTTTTGCCATCTTCTTGCAAGGAATTTCTCTATAAAATTTTGTTGGGTCCCAGGCCATGTAGGTATAAGAGGAAATGAAGTAGCTGATGCAGCTGAAAAGTCAGCTAGTTTTTTACAGCATACAATGCATATTGAAGGAGACGATATGCATTGATAAGTTAGCTAGTAGTTAAATTAAGGAACGACTAGCGGCGAGATGGCAAAATATGTGGAATGCACAAGTCCACAATAAACTACATGAGATCAAACCTATGATAGAAAATTGCACACATAATAAATATTACGACAGGAGATCTGAGGTTATTTTTACTCGTCTGAGGATTGGACATACTCGGTTGACTCATCAATACCTTTTGAAAGATGAAGAGCAACCAGTATGCCAGTACTGCAACTGCTCTCTAAGTTTTAAACACATACTGCTCGATTGCTCTGCCTTTGAGAGCAGTCGTAGACAGCATTTTGGAAATGCAAATTTGAAAGAGATTCTGGGCCAGAGACCAAATCATTATAATGTATTGGACTTTTTAAAAGTCATTAATCTGTATAACGAAATTTAATTATTTATTCATATATTTATTTCATTTTATTTTATTTCATTTTTGCAAGTTGTTGTCTTTTTGTACTTACTATGTGTATATTTATTTTCGTTGTTGTTGTTTATTTATTTAGTTATTATTGTCATATGTTAGTTATTTATCATGTTTAAAATTTTTCAACCATTTGCCCTGGCGCAGCATAGCTTATACGGCTCTTGTGCCAAAAAACAAAAACCAACCAACCAACCGATTGTCAAGGTCTTATCGAACTGCTTATAGGAGCAGATGTTGCTGGCAAACTGATGACGGGAAGAATTTAGAGACTCGAATCGGGATTAACTGCTATTGAAACGAAACTGGGTTGGACAATCTTAGGACGTGCAAAGGAGCATTCCGTACCAACTGAAGACTTGATTGTCACTTCGATGTTAATTGGAAATTTGCGAATTCATTATTTTTGGGAATTAGANACTAATAATAATAATAATAATAATAATAATAAGTATTACCTACTATAGTAGGTAATATACCGAGTATTACCTACTATACCCAACATAATAATAAAACAGACTATTGAAGAAAAACCACTTGAAACTAAAATTGGAGGTACCTTAGGAAGTTTGATTGCTAACTATGGTTCAGATTCTGAATAAGAAAAGCAAGAAGAGGATAAGATACCTGAAAAAGTTGAAAATAAAATACATGAAGTGCCAAAACAAGAAACTACAAAACCTGCTCAGCAACTGAAAAAAACTAGGCAGATGGCACCTTCTCGGAGGACAAATCAATTGAGGCATAGACCACAATATACTCTCTTAGAAAAACTTCTAGTTAATGAAATTAGGCATGAAAGAAATGTCATTATGCAGTGCGTGCACTACATTGTCAAGAACAATTTTTTTGACCCGACACATTGCTGATGTTTGCTTAAACAGCATTTTAAATATTTCATCTAAAATATATGATTAATATTGTTGTTCGATCATAATTATTAATTGTGATAACCAAAAATGAAAAATGTGTAAATAAAATATTTTATCATTTTTTGATAAAATATTTTATTTACACATTTTCAGCTTTCGTTTGCCAGGATGAAATCATGGCAGAACAAATTGAATCGAATTCATCTATTTTTACTGCAGAGCTGCAGGCTATTTATCTAGCTTTAAAGTATGTATTTAGGAAAGGTCATAGTTGTTGCGTGATTTACACTGACTCAGTTAGTTCCCTTCAGGCTTTGATTTCATGTGAACCTAGTTCCCACTACATAGTGATTAAAATTCGTAAATTGTTTTGCCATCTTCTTGCAAGGAATTTCTCTATAAAATTTTGTTGGGTCCCAGGCCATGTAGGTATAAGAGGAAATGAAGTAGCTGATGCAGCTGAAAAGTCAGCTAGTTTTTTACAGCATACAATGCATATTGAAGGAGACGATATGCATTGATAAGTTAGCTAGTAGTTAAATTAAGGAACGACTAGCGGCGAGATGGCAAAATATGTGGAATGCACAAGTCCACAATAAACTACATGAGATCAAACCTATGATAGAAAATTGCACACATAATAAATATTACGACAGGAGATCTGAGGTTATTTTTACTCGTCTGAGGATTGGACATACTCGGTTGACTCATCAATACCTTTTGAAAGATGAAGAGCAACCAGTATGCCAGTACTGCAACTGCTCTCTAAGTTTTAAACACATACTGCTCGATTGCTCTGCCTTTGAGAGCAGTCGTAGACAGCATTTTGGAAATGCAAATTTGAAAGAGATTCTGGGCCAGAGACCAAATCATTATAATGTATTGGACTTTTTAAAAGTCATTAATCTGTATAACGAAATTTAATTATTTATTCATATATTTATTTCATTTTATTTTATTTCATTTTTGCAAGTTGTTGTCTTTTTGTACTTACTATGTGTATATTTATTTTCGTTGTTGTTGTTTATTTATTTAGTTATTATTGTCATATGTTAGTTATTTATCATGTTTAAAATTTTTCAACCATTTGCCCTGGCGCAGCATAGCTTATACGGCTCTTGTGCCAAAAAACAAAAACCAACCAACCAACCGATTGTCAAGGTCTTATCGAACTGCTTATAGGAGCAGATGTTGCTGGCAAACTGATGACGGGAAGAATTTAGAGACTCGAATCGGGATTAACTGCTATTGAAACGAAACTGGGTTGGACAATCTTAGGACGTGCAAAGGAGCATTCCGTACCAACTGAAGACTTGATTGTCACTTCGATGTTAATTGGAAATTTGCGAATTCATTATTTTTTGGAATTAGATATTCTTGGAATAAAGGACCCTGCTGAAAAACAATCAAAGGAGGAATTGGAACAAGCATATATCAAACATTTTGAAAAGACACTGAAGAGAGACAGTGATGGTCGGTATATTGTATCCTTGCCTTGGATAGAAGGTTGCCAAGCTCTACCAAATAATAAGGTTTTAGCCGAGTGAAGATTAAGATCAACAGTGTAGACTTTACAAAATAAGGGCCTGGTTGATGCCTATGAGAGAGTCTTTGAGCAATGGCTGGAAGATCAAATAATAGAAGAAGTGAAAAACGTTAAAGTGAAGGAGACCAACTGCCATTACCTTCCACATAGAGCTGTCATCAAAGAGCATTCCACGACGAAGATTCGTCCAGTCTTCGACGCTTTTGTTAAAGAAAGGGGCAATGTCTCCTTAAATAATATTTTAGCAAAAGGTCCTAACTACATTGAACTAATACGGAATAATAGCGGACATTCGAAAGGCTTTTTTGCAGATAGAAGTAAGTGAAGCGGATTGCAACTTTCTCAGATTCTTGTGGTGGGAGGGTGGCGACCCTGGGAAATTGAAAGTTTTCAGACATTGCAGGGTGGTGTTTGGAGTAAACTCGAGTCCTTTTCTCCTGGGAGCCAGTCTAAATTATCACTTAAACCATGTTCCAGATCATCTGCAAGAAACAGCTTTAAAACTTAAGAAATTGATGTATGTTGATAACTGCATTATGAGTTGTCAGTCCAAGGAGGAGCTGATGGATTTTATAAGGCAGTCTAGAGAAATCATGCGTTTAGCATGCTTTGATTTAAGAGGTTAGGTATACAATGGTATACAAACAGAGACGTCACCAGTTTGCGACAGCGATGAAAGGATATTGGGAACTTTGGAAATCCAGTCTGATGAAATAGTCAGTGTGCTAGGATAGAATTGGAATGTTTCAGAGGACGTTTTATACTGTAATGCAAACTTTAGAGTACCTAACAATGAAATTTTAACAAAAAGAGTGGTTCTGTCATTAGCGAGTCAACTTTTTGATTCAATTGGATTCCTTTTTCCAGTGACGTTAATACAAAAACTTTTGATGCAAGAGTGTTGGAAGAGAAAGTTAGCTTGGGACACTCCATTACCGCAAGACTTAGAAAGAAGATTGTTAAGGTGGATAAAAGAATTAAAATTTTTGAAAGAGGTTAAAATTCCTAGAAGGATAGTAAATGACTTTAGTGCAGCTGTCCAATTTTCATTTTATGTATTTTGTGATGCGTCACAGTACTCTTATGCTGCTTGTATCTATCTCAGACAGCAAGATGCTTGCAACATAAAATGGCAGTTGATCCAAGCTCGTACTCGTGTTGCTCCTCTGAAGTTTATATTGATTTCTAGGCTTGAACTTTTAGCCTATTTATTAGGTGTCAGAATGATGAACTCTGTCAAAGGGGACTTTCCACTTGAATGAATCTCAACTCTTTATTGGACTGATTCCATGAATGTTTTATATTGGATCAAAAATCGGGAATGTTGGGTTATGTTTGTTATGAATACAGTAAATGAAATTAGATTTTTAAGTTGTCCAGATGACTGGAATCATGTGCCAGGGTATATAAACCTTGCAGACCTTTCATCATGGGGCTGTAATGCAAGAATTTTGGCTGAATCGCACTGGTGGGAGACACTTCAATTTCCAAGTTTACCAGTAGAAGAATGGCCTCGGCAGAAAGAAATGCCAGACATGGAGATAGTGAGCTCTGAAAGGAAAAAATCTGTCATTTCTTCACTGGATGTAGAGAAAGCAGAAAGGTTTTATGAGAATTATTCCACTTACTGGAAAATATTACGAATAACGGCTTGGATATACCGGTTTGTCTCAAATCTCAAGGGACAATCTGCTAGAATGTCTGGAGGGCTTACAGTAAAGGAAATAAGGTACACTGAATTAGTGTTATTGAAACTGTTTCAAAAAGAAGAATTTCCAAAGGGAATAAATAATCGTTTGCAAAACTCGATGGGGATGACCAAGGGCACGAAAATGATTTCTGTAGGAGATATCGTCTTGGTTGGGCATGACAACCAAAAACGACTTGATTGGCCTCTGGAGAAAGTTGTCGTGATCTATCCAAGTAAAGATGGATTGGTAAGAGTAGCCAAAATAAAAACACATGTTGGATTTCTCATCCATCCTGTTAGGAGATTGTACCCCTTGGAGATTTATTCGGGGGATGAAAAGCATGCTATGCAAGACGAATTTTGTGGCAAGACTGCAGACTCTGCTGAAAATGATCGCGAGAGGACCTGTGATCAGTCCCGAATGACCTCTGCCGCTGCAGGAAGTGATGTGGTGAAAAACTCATCTGAGAATTATCGAGTCTCAAAAAGGGGCAGACCCCTAACTTCGAATCAGTTAAATCTATAAACTGATTCGAACTCATTCAATTTATACTGTATGTGTTTTGTCGGAGTAAAGTTCAAAACACCATACACCAAGTTAAAATTCAAAACGATATATATATTAAAATAAACGTATGTACGGTTACAAAAGTTTACAAAACAAACATTTACAAAACATCAATCGTAACAAAGTTCAACACGTATCCACCATCACAGGTCCGTCGAAAAGACATCTTGCGACAAACTAACTCTAAAGTCATTTACAGTCTAACGAGACGAAACAATCTTCGGGGCCAGCTTAGGCAAACTAGGATCAACGTGAGTTCTATTCAAGCGTCCAAGGTGAACTGAACTTCCCACCACAACTCAATCCTTTTATAGGATTGAAGCAGAATTGGCTTCCACCAATCAGCTCTTAGCAGCTCTACAAGATGTCTGCCGATGGCGTGATGTCGCTCAAACAATGAGTGGTCGAGTCTTCAAAAGTGGTCTGATTGTTGTATCGTATGATCAACCGTCGCTCGTCGAACGACTGGAAAAGTGCAGGAAAACCATGCGCCAGACGATTTTTATTCCGACACCTCCACGGTCGAGGATTAAACTGAGCTTACTTAAGCCTGTTTGATTCCCTTCACAACACCAAACAACCTTACAAAAATCGTCTGATGTCGGACTGATTCACATATTCGGAACATCTGGGAATTTTACCCGACTACGCACAGAGATGCCTTTGTTACTGATGCCTAATAACCGCTTTCGTAAAGCTAGCGAAATCCGGTATGGGGTAAACCGTTTTGGGATTCACCCTCCAGTAAGTGTCCAGATGTTTTTCTTTTTTGGTCTAATATCGAAAATCGAGTTGTAATCCTTTAGCACGTCATCCAGCTTGGTCTGTGCCGACGTCGGGGGAAGCGGAGGAACTCCTTTTACTCTCCCGTCCCATCGTTTGCGATCGTGAAGCTGTCACAGGGATGGAGTTTGATCCAGTTTCCTGAATATCCCGTCGGAACCAAGTACTATTTCTACAGCGAAAGTTTGCTTCCGATACTCCCTGAGACTATTTGGTCCCAGTTAATTCTCCTGTCTTTAACCCTTATCTGGTAGCTTTCTTCACGTCCTCGCTTTTCTACATCAGGCCATTCCCACCGGACATCCAATTTGTCATCCGGGAAAGACTTTTCCACGGGAACTGTATCCCCAATGTTATATTTCTTTGGCCGTGCTCTGAAGTTGTAATGCACTGCATACTCTTCTCGCTTTTTAGCCATATGCTTAGTTGCAATATCGTAAACCGCTTTGATCTGATCTATCTTTACATTTCCTACTTCTAACATACAGGTTGTTTTATACGTCAATACTGCGGTGAAATTGGTCCCCTGATCATAACAAGTCAGTTCAGGAAAACCCGTCCGTGTAAAGAATTGCAAAAATACCGAACAAGTGGCCATCACCGAAAGTGCTCTCATCCCTTCCACTTCTGACCAACGGGTGCATAATCTGATTATGCCAACTGCGTATCGATGACTGTTAGATGACAAGGGATCAATCAGTACAATCATGCCTAGGTTAACCACTTGAAACGGGGTTGAGAATCAAGTAAGTGGTGTAACTGGGATCCTATCTAGGACTAGATCAGGCACTTTTACTAGGCACCTATGACTATTCTGGCAGTACTTTCGGATATCGGTCGCCATTCTCGGCCAACAGAAGCTCTCGCGAACGTGACTTGCTAATTCCCGACTGCCCAACTGTTCATCGCACGGAGCTTTGTGTGCTAAATCTAACATTTCTGCTCTTCGTTCTTGGGGAACAACTACCTGCTTAATGGGTCTGCCGAACCAACTATCTTGCCGAAATAGTATTTTGTCCTCTACAGTTAACCCATCTTTCTTATGCTTAGCAGCCTCCCACATTCGGGAAAGTGACTCGTCCCGGACTTGAGCGTCTCGTAATTTTGTTCCTTACTCATTTTCGGTGCTATTTTCATTGCATCCCGCCTCTGAGAGAGGTTTCGGTTTCTTTCCCTGATGATTTCCGCTTCCATCTACCCTCAAACTCCTCACATGCCTTCCTCCCTTTTTCTTGAGTTTCTCCTTTCAGTCTATCAACATCCGGTAATCCTCCTCCGATAACAAGGCGTCCATGGTCTGGTGTAACTCGTCTGTTAAGGCGCACATCACCAGTTCTGACCTTTCCGACCTTGCGAAGTCTTCCTCCCACAACCCTATCGGGACCGATACTAACACCACATTGATCCGGTGACTGAAGGGACCAACCAATTGGACTCTCCCCTTCGTTTTTATTACCGAGGTAGGTACCAATGACTTCCTTATAACCGAAATTTCAGCTCCACAGTCAACTATGGCCGAAAGGAGCTTCCCATCGCATGCTAATTTGACTCTATTCGGCGCTTTTATGACCTTTGGTTGGTCATACGACGTTACCCTCGCTACCAAACGTCTATCGTCCTGAGATTTGTTACTAGTAGTCACGAGCCGCGCCTGTTTAGGCTCACTATGTGCCTTTCGTTTCGGACAGTTTCTCCTCCAATGGTCCGTTTCCTTGCAAACATAACAACCATTTTTGTGGGGTTGTTTATCTATAGACTGCGTCACGGGACTAGATTTTCCTTTCTTCTCTCTCCACGCGTTTCTTTGTTCGCTGTTTTTCTCGCTTTTGGTTGGGGATGTACTATTTGACGCCTCGTCAAACTTTTCTATAAATCTGGCCAATTCCGCAGGCTTGCTTCATCCCTTCCCTTCCTGCAATATCACATATTTCCTTGCGTCGTGAGGAAGGAGCATCTTTATATGGTCCGCTACTGTTAGCTCAACAAGACCTTCCAACGTCTCCACCTCTCTACTATCTACATAGTACTGATAAAGGTCTTTCAGGCACGACGCGAATTGCGGCCATGTTTCTCCCGAGTAGCGTTCTGCTCGCCTAAATTTCTTTAGATATTCCGCAGGTGAGAGTCTCAACTCTTCGAGAATAAACTCTTTTAAGGAAGGGTAATGTTTGACCTTATCCACTGACAACCTTGTCAGTGCCACTTTACATCTATTGGATAGCACGCTCAAAACTATTTGTTCCTGTAAATCTACCTGGGCCTCGTAGGTCTCTAAAACTACTTCGACCATACGAAACCAGGATGGTACTGCCTCCTCCTCTTCCGGCATTTTAGGCAGTGCCGCCTTTGCCCTACGAGCGTAATCGTCAAAATTTGCTTTGCCGATATTATCCTCTGCGTCTCGGGTCCCCTTTTGTAATCTATTTCACTCTAACTCAATTTCCGCCTTTCTGACCTCAGCTTCTGCTTTCCTCTCCTTAGATTCCGCTGTTTCCTGTTTGAGCTTCTGGAGTTCAAGCTGCATTCTCATCATTTCCAGATTCCCTTGCGAATCATTTCCTGTTCCGCCTGCCTTCTGTCCCTTGGTCAGCCCATCATTTTCTCAATCCCGTGTTTCTAAACCTAGCGGTTTTGCGCATCTAGGCATCTCTGTGCTAGCAAGTAAAATAAAGTTTTACCTGGGTCAATGATTGCCGGTGTTCTTCTGTCCTTATGTCCGTCGCAGATCAGCCTTTTTGATTCATAGTAATCCAAAGGTAATCTAAAAAGTAGTCCAAAGTAATACTGTAGTTATCCTGTCGAGACTGCGCCAGTAAAGTTTAAAACACCATACACCAAGTTAAAATTCAAAACGATATATATATTAAAATAAACGTATGTACAGTTACAAAAGTTCACAAAACAAACATTTACAAAACATCAATCGTAACAAAGTTCAACACGTATCCATCATCACAGGTCCGTCGAAAAGAAACTTTGTGATGAACTAACTCTAAAGTCATTTACAGTCTAACGAGACAAAACAATCTTCGGGGCCAGCTTAGGCGAACTAGGACCAACGTGAGTTTCCTTCAAGCATTTAAGGTGAACTGAACTTCCTGCCACAACTCAATCCCTATTATAGGATTGAAGCAGAATTGGCTTTCACCAATCAGAACTTAGCAGCTCTACAAGACGTCTGCCGATGGCGTGATGTCGCTCAACCAATGAGCGGTCGAGTCTTCAAAAGTGGTCTGATTGTCGTATCGTATGATCAATTGTTGCTCGTCGAACGACTGGAAAAGCGCGGGAAAACCATGCGCCAGACGATTTTTATCCTGACAGTCGGGTTTAAATTTAGATTTAAATTTGATTTGATTTTGACTGACAAAATCAAAGGTGGGAGGATGACTTATCCATCCTGCTAGATGGCGGGCGGTTTTAATGGTTTATTTATTGTTAATATTAAATGTTTAATAATATGATTGAAAAATCATTTTAATATTTAATGTTTAATAATATGATTGAAAAATCTTTTTACAAAATCGAAGATTGCATGTCAGGATGGGCAACACTTTATCTAGGCCTTTCACACAAGAAGAAGGTGTTTTTTTAGGTTGGATTTTGAGTGTGACTATGTTCCTAATTAAAATAAACAGCATAACTAGTTGTTTCTTTTCTAGTGTGAAACACTTCTTGTATTTGGATGAATTTCAGATCTCCATTCAGTCAAACAACATGAGTTTTATCGAGAGACAACTGCAAACTGTTAGGGTTAAGGTCTTTTATCATTAACTTTTAACGATAAGCCAATGATAATTCGTTTGCACAGCGCCGGATAGGATGACAAATTATACATACCAGCAATGTCTTCAAAATACTTTATTGAAGTTATTGTTAAGGACATAAATCACAAAGCAGATGACTGCACAGAGAAAAGAACAAGAAGTAAAAAAACGAAACCGAAACTAACAAAATGGGGATATTAATATTAAGTCACGGAACGAGATCTCGCACTCTTCTCGCGAGCACTATCGTTGAGGGATTGTTAATAAACACGGACGTCTAACACAAACTTTCCTTAACATAGAGACCTCGTGCATCCACTTTTGCTAAAGGCGTGGTATGCACCTTGATCCAGAAATTTATTTAAATGGGGATAAAATCCCAATGGTCAAGGAAGCTAAGTTTTTAGGTGTCATATTTGACAAAAACTGACTTTTTACAACATTTGCGCAACTTGAAGAGTGGAGGTTTAAAATCTTTGAACCTTTTAAACGTACTGTGATGCTCATCCTGGGGAGCAGACAAAGTTTTTGTGCTCAGGATTTATAGGGCCCTTGTTGCTTAAAGCTGGATTACGGATGCATTGTGTATGGCTCTGCACGAGAATGTACTCTTCGGATTCTGGATCTAATTCATCGTGAAGCTTTGCGTTTGTGCACTGGTGCATTTTGAACTTTCTCTGTTTAAAGTCTGTATGGGGATGCTTATGAGCCTGTATTTCTCAGGAGAGAACAGTTGTGTCTTTTTTAGTTCATTAAATAAAAATCTCAGAAAAAACTTTCAGCTGATTGTCCAGATACTCAGATGAAAAGATTATTTGCTGCTCGGACCAGTAGTGTCTCTACATTCAACATCAGAATGGAGAATGTAAGCAGCATGATTGACCTTAACACAAGCAACATCTTATATGTTGAGGTTAATAGTATTTCACCTTGGTCAACCCCAGCAATAGATGTTGATTTATGCTTAAAGCAGTTCTTAAAAGATACCATGCCAGATTATGTCTATACACAGCACTTCGCAGAAGTTCAACATTGTGACAGGAACATAATTTGAATATACACTGATGGATCTAAATTTGATAACTATGTTGGCTCAGTTTTTGTTTGCCAAAATGAAATTGTGGCAGAACAAATATCACTGAATTCTTCCATTTTTTCTGCAGAGTTGCAGGCTATTTATTTAGCTTTAAAATATAAATAGGAAAGGTCATTGTTGATTTTTCCTATTTATATATTTTAGGGCGTGATTTACACTGACTCAGTCAGTGCATTTCAGGCTCTGATCTCGTATGAACCTAGTTCTCACTTCATAGTTGTTAAAATCTGAAAAATAATTTGTTATCTTAGTACGAGAAATTTTTATGTAAAGTTCTGTTGGGTCCCATGCCACGTGGGTATAAGAGGTAATCAAGAAGCTGACACAGCTGCTAAGTCAGCAAGTCCTTCACAGCATATAATGCGTATTGAAGGAGGTGATTTGAAGCTAGTTGTTAACCCGTCGGCACGCGCGTGCTCCGTCAAACAGAAATTACGTGCGCTCGGTCAATTAGGCACCAAATTAAAAAATTAATTAATAAAAATTTTGCGTCGTAAAACGAGTATTTTTACTTTAATCCAGTTTTATGATATGTTTGTAGTCGAATTTAGTCAAAAAACTTTAATTTTGTTATAATTTTGTTGATGGTTTTAATTTTTTAATATTAGAAGGTAATTAGCATAAATTACAAAGTGTCGTGTTTCATCTTCGCTCCCGTTCAAGTTTATAGTCCTAGATACGCGCCGATGTTTGTTTTTACTTTTACTGGTGTTTCCGCTTTTATTTCACCCTCGTCCGTTTTGGTTACAGACGATGGGGAGACGGGCGTCACGTGATCGCTTACCTCACTTTTTACAACAGAAAT